AAATGATTGTCAGGACTCCATCAAGTAGAGAAAAATAAAATAAACGTCTATTTACAGTACCGATCAAATCGTTGCCCTACCGACGTTCTTCACGACCCTAACGCGTCTCCCCTTTTTCTTTTCTTTTTCTTTTCCCATGTCTCGCACGAGCCACAGCAGCGTCACTGACTTTAAAGTCATCACTAAACGAAAAGAAATACGAAACCGAATCCCTGCGTATGTGGCGCCTTTGGATTTACGGTTGTCGTTTACGTTGACCTTCACACCTCCCCAACAAGTATAATTTTAGGGCCTCAGTGTCACAAAATTATCACACACACACACACACAAAAAAAAAAAAGCAAAAGAAAAAAGAAAGTTCGCCCGTCATACACTGGTCAATTGCGCTCTGGTAAGGTGATTTTGGATGCGCCCGCCAAGGCTCTAAACACCCCGTTGCTACAAAAAAAAACAAAAAAAAAACAGGAAAGGCGTATGCGGAACATATGCTCTCTCTAGGCTAGGTGACTTTCTTGAAACATGCAACTGCCCGTTCAGTCATAACACAAGAAAAAGAAACACACCAACTAAAAACATACAATCTACGGGATTTCAATCGCGTGGATCACGGGAAATACAATCCCGGGGATTTCTCCCCGGCGCTCGCGCATCACGAGATAAAAACGCGAGGCTTTTGCACATCGCAAAGCCTTACGTTTTCGTCGTGGGATGCGCGTGCCGGGGAGAAATCCCCGGGATTTCTCCCTCGTGAGAATACCCCTTGATGCGACGAACCAAAAAATTGCGGTGGCTTAGCTCGGCTATGCCAGGATATATGTAGCGTGAGCTTATGCGCACGAAATGAGGCGCTATCAAGCGGCTCCGGCGCAGCGTCAGACTTGGCTACTGCGCAACGGAGGCGGACAGCTGGGCACGCGGCGGCGCCAGTGCGTCTGCCGCGGCTATGACGTCACTTCTCTGAATTGCGCAGACTGGCGAGGCGCGCGCGGTGGCGGCGGAGCGCGCGGCGGCGGTGGCTCCGGCGCGCCAGCTGTGCGCCGTGTGACGTCACTGCTCCTCGCGCATGCGCAGACCGGCGAGGCGCGCGCGGCGGCGGCTCCGGCGCGCTAGCTGTGCGCCGTGTGACGTCACTGCTCCTCGCGCTTGCGCAGCACGGCTCTTTGACAGCCACGCGAAACTGCTCAACCTCGGCCAGTGTAGCTCACGCTGCAAAAACCATTGCTTGACAAATCAGTCGCTCCTTCTCCATTTGGACCTCGCGCTACACAGACTGGTCCATCTCGAAGGCGCTCAGCTGCGGCCCACGGACCTCCACTGGGAGCTCCGTGGCCTTGGCCTGCTTCTCTTTTGGGCTGGGACGCTCCTCCTCCTTGTTGAATGGAATGGAGTCGCTGTCCGCTGAATCTGCTGGGTCGTTCCAGCCGGCGGGGCCGGCTGACGCAATCCTATCGACTGCGCCAGTGAAGGTTCGTTCTTTTCTTACGATTGCGTCAGGGACCCGATGGCTGAAAACGTCTGTGGTCTGCGGATGTTGGTGGTCATAAAAATGACTGACAGGGCTCCATCAAGGAGAGAAAAATAAAAATTGACCGCATCTCCACGTGGTGAATTATGTTGATTGGGGCGAAGCTCTGGTGGTGCTTGTCTGCGCAGACGCTGAGCCGCAGCATGCCGAGCCTTTCGTTCGTTTTCATCCATGTCAGAAAGAGAATGCGTGGTATGGAACGTGGTTATATGAGCATTTGACAGCAGCGCCCTCTCGTCTATAAACATTGAGCCAATGCATGCAAAGTTTAACGCGATTATATACGCATTTGACCTCAGCACCCTCTCCTGTATAGACGTTGAGCGGCAACATGCAACGTTTCATCCATGACATCCCCAGCTCTTGAGTTACTACCACATCTCAGAGCCCCCTACTCGACCCGCAGTCGTGGCCGAGTGGTTAAGGCGATGGACTAGAAATGCATTGGGGTCTCCCCGCACAGGTTCGAATCCTGTCGACTGCGCAAACATTTTTCTTTATCATTTTTTTCCCCTACACGAGCACATGAACTTACGATCACGAGCACGAGCACCAGCAGGATTGATGTAAGCACGGACGCCGGACGGACAAGGCTAGACCCTAAGGAGCTTCGCCCCTAAAAGAAACGTCTATTTACAGTACAAATGAAATCGTTCCCCGACCGAAGTTCTTCCCGACCCTGGCGCGTCTCCCCTTTTCCTTTTCTTTTTCTTCCCCCCATGACTCGCACGAGCCACAGCCGCGTCACTCACTTTAAAGTCATCACTAAACGAAAAGAAAGACGAAACCGAAACCCTGCGTATGTCGCGCCTTTGGATTTACAGTTGTCGTTTACGTTGACCTTCACACATATATCTTCATGTTGTCAATGTTTAAAAGTTATAACCATGCAGCGCTGTTATCAGTGTTACAACCTTGGGCGTCAAGCAATGCTGTTTGTTTTTCGTGCGTTAAACTTTGGTGTCTCTTCCTGAGTTCACTGCAGCGACGGCCTTGAAGCAAAACCAAAGGTCAAATTAGGGGGTTCTACGTGCCAAACCAACGACGGATATCTGGCATGGCCAAGCGGAGAGGACTGATGATTAATGTGGACCACCTGGGACTTTTTTGACGTGCGATTTCGAAAGCTCGGTTACTCCGCAATAGACCCCTTTCGAAATACTGCCATTTATTGTCAGCTGTGGAATCCCTGCACAATGGCGGACTAAAACCGCAACGTCACGGCACATTGGATGCGTTTGGTTGGAGCAGAAGAAAAAACACACCCACAGAAAGAGGTGATGAGCGTAGTGACGTTGCACTTTCGACGTTGTTTGGGCACGGCAAAGACGGCTCGTGCCGCCTCATGCTCCACACGCGCAGAGCTCCAGCGAGGTTGTCGCTCGTGCAGAAAGACCACGGTGTACCGGGGTGTCATGGCAACGAGATCATTTTTTTTTCGCTCTCACGCAGTTTCGCCGTTTGGCCGCCGACGACACTGTCAGCCGCGGGCACGGTGGCTGCGGAATAAGGCAGCCTTTCGGATGCCCGTCGAACGAACACTATCTGATTCCTCGCGCCGCGCGTTCAGTCCCGCTGAGTCCTCACCTAAAGAGTGTATCTTACACCGTGGTGTGAACCAAGTACTAGCGCTGGTCCAAGTAGGCGGGAAAAAAAAGGAAAGATCCATTGGTGGACTTTTAGGGAATGCGTTAGCATGACCCACTGGGGGGACCGCGTAACGCAGCCAAGAAGAGGCAGCAAAAAATAGAGAAAGCAAAATAGAAAGCCAAAACAGAAAAGTAAAGGGGTCCACGTCGTTTCCCAAGGGGGGACGTGTGTGGCGTTTCCCAAGGGTCATGCTAACGCATTCTCTACGGATTTACCAGTGGATCTTCCTGTAATTTTTATTTTGCGATTTACTTCACGATTTATATGTACCACATTGCGCCTTAGGTAGAGGGTTTAAGATTACTGGGCACGAGACATAGTAGGGCACGCAGAAGTGTTCCGTGCGTTGGGGTCTCCCTGAGCTCTAGCAGCCAGCAAACGTCCCGCACTTACACGCAAAAACCACAGCCCCTCCATCCGGAGCACCAGCCTGGAGGCCATCCACTAAGCTGTTAATTATGTAAGTTAAATTTTACCACTTAAATTATGTAAGTATATAACATACGGCACACCTTTATTTTCTGCATCTACCGTAAACAATATATATTATATATATATATATATATATATATATATATATATATATATAACGGGCATGGTGGCGGGAGGCCGAAGGCGTGGTTATATAACTGAGAAGAAAAAACCCTTAGTGAAAACGGCGACAACGGACAATTTATTCTTCGACGTTGCGACCGGAGTCCGGCCTTCGTCAGGAAGGCCGGACTCCGGTCGAAACGTCGGAGGATAAATCGTCCGTTGTTGCTTTTTTCACTAAGGGTTTTTTCTTCTCAGTTTATATATATATATATATATATATATATATATACTGATTTGGGGAAATTAAGATATGTATATATATATATTAGCCCCATGTCTAAAAAACAAAACAGCTTTTTTTTTTCTTTTTTTTTCTTTTTCATTTTTTCGTTGAACAAAATATTTGAAGGTGGAACAAGATGAAAACCAAATTTTTTGCTGGCATTATCTGTGAGTAGTTTGGTTGGCTGGCATAAATACAAAAAAAAAACATGACAAACTTGCGGTATTTATTAAGTTAGAGATAACAATTTATACATGCATTAATTATAGCCGAGATACAACTGCCAAATATTGTACCTTTGACAATCTAGTACATATTCGGAACCTCATATCTCATTATGCGTCATAGCTACTGCTTACTAAATACTATGCCCGTGTAGTCGTCTACTTGGGCTACTAACTGGTTTTATTTTTATTTAATGCAGGATCACAAAATTGTTCACATTGAATCTGAAAACTAATAAAAACTGAAATATGACAAACGCGTGAACTCGAATAGAAAAGGTCATATTGAGTGTTCTTTATAATGTTATTACTTCTGATAATATTGCCTTCCTAGTGGCAAACTCTAAATTTAATACCCCCCCCCCCCCTTTTTTTTGTATTTCCTGTAGAAGCGCTGCCAGAATCGACTAAGTGGTAGTCTCTGTTGGTTGGCTTTTTTTGCAGTATTATTCATAAAAATGTCACCACTAAATACTATAAGCCTGTGGTTATGTATCCGTCCTATCGAAGCACACTATTTTAGTTTTATTTGTTATCACGAAATGTTTTATATAAAATTTGAAATTTGAGAAAAATGAAATTCGGCCATTATTAACGTTTACGTTTGCGTTTGCGTTTGCGTGTGCGTGTGTGTATGTGTGTATGTGTGAGAGAGAGAGAGAGAAAAAAAAAGAGAGAGAGAGAGGGGGGGGGGAGGGGGTGACACTGTGGGCCACCGCCTCGGGTGCCGCTGACCCTATAGTGACGCCGCTGCCTCGGTAATAATGACGCGAACGGAGCATTCAGGGTGGCAGAAAAACACAACGGCAATTTATTTTGTTCGTCCCTCACAATGGATTGATTCCAGTGGTTAAAACACATCCACGTCCGGGTTTCGCAACGGGTTGTTTGCGCAACCCACAGCACAGCAAAGCGTGTTCGGCATTGCGCAACGACGTCAGCCTCCGTGAGCGAGCAGCGAGCCACCACGATTGCCTCAGGAACACAAACCAACGGCAACTGTAAAAACGCACCAAACTAACCAGGAACAAAGGAAGCAGACCGTCTGTCTAGCAGTCATGACGGCTGTAAACCGTCAGCAAACGCAGGAAAAACACTAAATGGCAGCGCAAGACTGACGTCATGGACCAATGCGGCTTCACCAAAAGGCCAACCCGCTGGAGGCCCGCTAGGGAGCTGATTGGAGCATTTGTAATAACGGTTTTAGGGTGGAAGGCGGCTTCACCTTGGCGTAATATTGTGGCAGCGATCGTATTTCGTCCCCCTAAAGCGAAATTAGTAGGGAGCTCTAGTAGATCGTTTTTGCCGTCCCGCAAGGCCCTCCGCAACCCGCTACGATAGCGGGAACTCCACAGTCAAGGCTATCAGCGCGCAGGCGCAGTAGCAACTTCTTCGTTGCGGAATGCTTAGCGGAGGGGGCAACGCGGTCTACGAAAACTCCCTATTGATTAGACTTTTAGTAGACCGTACGACAAAGCTTGGCATTGCTCGCGGGAGCTTGTGCCGTCACTCGGAGGCGTCGACCGAGCACGCGCCCGCTAGGCCCACAATCGGGAGGCTACGGTCTACTATAGCCATTGGCAGGATGAGAACGGTGGGAAGGAGCTTCCTACCTTCGATAACGCCTCGGCATCCGGTGAGCCTTGAGCGTACACGAGGAGCCGAAGCACTGCAATGAGCTGAGAAAGTGAGGAAGAGGAGGAGACGAGAGCGGGACGTGAGAAAGCCGAGCTCTGGTTGGAATCATTAGTAGGTAGACCTAAAGCTAGCTGACTTTGTCTCCACGGCACTCGGCGAACACGTTTCGAACTCCTCGGTTTCTCGGCGCATATTTAGGCAACGAGTGCGTGCTGGACGCCGGGCGTTCGAAAGAGAAGCGCTGTCGTTCTCACCCTTAAAGGCCGACGTATGTACACTTCGCGCTTTCCACTTTTGCCCGCCTCCTCATTTCCTATATCCTCTTTACTTTTTACCTTGCCCCAACTTGGCTTCCCTCGCAGCTTAGGAGAGGGGAGCGCTACGAGGATTATCTTCCCCGAAGAAAACTTTAGTCAAAGCTACAAGCGCGAGCTGACCCGCGCTCCTGGCTTTGAGAAGTGCATTTCTAGCGCGTGTGCTCGGTCCACGGGAAAACGTTTCAAAGCAGCGACCTCGTGCTCTCGTGCTTGTGGCACTGGCTGCAGTGTCAGCTTAACGGAGTATATAAAATTCTCTATTTAGTTTGGATCGACTTGGTAGCGGAGTTGTCCTTTAAACGTCATTCGCCCCTCTCTGACCATCGCCAGCAGCACTCTTCGTGTGCCTGGAGGCTGGAGCGCGCAGCTCGTGGAAAACAAAACTTCAGAACGCGCTAGCCTCTTCGTCTCACTGGTTGTATACACCTTTCCCACAAGGGCGCAGCCAGCTTGAATGTCGTCACCTCTGGTATGCGGTAAAACAATGTTTTGATCTCTCCACGCCGCTGGAAGGTGTTTACGAAAAATGCGTGATCGTCACACATTCTTGTTTTGCTTCATCTATATTTTCTCGCATATCCAGGTTGATTTTTTTTTTTTTTGTCCCAGATGCTAGACACGGAATTTACGTGACTGAGAACGACAGGAAACAGAAAAGGTCTATAGTATGCACTGGCGTTATACTCCGTTCACCCTTGAGCAGAGACTAGAAGCTCCGCCTTCAGCGCGAGCTTTCTCCCCTTGCTCATGCAAGTGTGAACGCGCAGGCACGCGGAACCAAAGCACTGCGGAAGGCAGCGAGCTCGCGCTGAAGGCCAAGCTTCTAGCGTCAGCTTAAGGGTGAACGGACTAAAACGCGGTCAAAACGAGCTGAAATAGTCCCTCCGGTTTCTCTGGCGTACCTGCAAGTTTTTGAGGGAGCTTTGGTCCGAACTATGCGTTGACTAATTGGGAGATAATAGACAGAGCTAGTGGGGACCGCAAACGCAGAAGAAAGTCGAGTGTTTCAGCTCATGTTATCCGCGGGGCTACACACATTGTTCATCGGCGCCGTCCGGTTGCACCAACGTGAGCGACCAGAAGGGCGTTTCTCTTGTCCACCACTGTACATTGGCAGAATGCCAGAGGTCAACATCAACCGCCCGCACTACGAACCGCGCCCCATCCCTTTCGTATATGAGGAGCGTACCCCGCTCCGTGACTCATCTGGTGATTTCTATCTGGACTCTGCAGCAGCCATGTGCCTACAATTCGGTAACTATTTTGGGGGGGTGTATCTGTATCACTGGAACCTGGACTTTCTGGTCGGCACCCTTGGAGGCGGATTGTCCGTCAACGTCCACTCTCGAAGCCGCAGCAGGAGGAGCCTCCTTGACCGCAGTCCTGTAGCCGTACTTGAATGCGACAGTGATGCACGTGCCGTTGCCCAGGACCAGTAGGAGCAGCACGGCCGGATGCAAGAACAGGCCCACGAAGACGCTAAGCGCTGTCACAGCGATGGCGGCCGTTGAACAGCCCAGTACAACGCCCTTCCGCACGTCCACGTCTGCGGCAGCTGGTAAGGGTGCGCCGTCGACGACGACCACGGTTCCATTCTGCGCCGCAGCCATGGGACTGGAAACAAATCCGAGTCGGAATCAAGCGATGATATACATTGCGGGCTTATCCGAAGCCCGGAAACTAACAAGCTCAATTAACTGAACGATCCGTGATACGGAAGGCTTATGGAGAATTTCCCTGGTCGTTTTGGATCAATGGCCAAACTCTGCGACGGAGCAGGCAATTCTTGCGGAGCCGCTACGCTTCCGACTCAACCAGTGCAGGGCAGTGTTGTGTGTGTTACCGGAAAAAAGTACTGAAATAGCGATTCTCGTTCGATCATCAAAAATTAACGCGCTACGCGTCTTCAAATTTAACAAAATACCGTTTACCGTAATTTCCAAATTCTAAAAAACGTGACTTTTGCGTGACTTTAGATTTCGATATGGTTGGCAGCGACAGGTCATGGATACGAACTTCGAGAACAATTAAGTTTTAACAGAGGGATTTCAATGTGTTTATTATAATTTTAGCACTTAAATTATATAAGTATATAACTTACGGCACACCTTTATTTTCTTCATCTACCGTACACAATATATATATATATATATATATATATATATATACTTCTTTTTTACTCCATTTGGATGGGTAATAAAAAAAAAGATAAATAATTTATCAAAAGTAACGAGTAGCGTATTTTGATGAACATTAACAGAAATGATTTACTCGTTATTCATTTAGAAATCTAACGTACACGATTTGCATCACTGGGAATATTAGCGCGTTACAAGTAAGTAACGTCGTTACTTCCAACAATGGTGTGGAGGACGACCTCCCCTACGGGAACGACAGACAGGCCGGCCAAAACTGGGTGGCCTGTAGCGCGAGACGACAGCTTCTCCACAGCAGTCGGCGGTTTCTTACGCGCGCCTCCAAAAACGTGGGTCGCCTCGGCTTGCCGTGGCACAAAACTTAAAAGTAGAACCAACAGTTTCTTTTCCTTTCTGCCCAATTGCTTTGCTTATTTTTTTTCCCCCGAGATAAGCCTTGCAGGGTTGAATGCAAGAGATACACCGTGCTCGTTACGCTGTTCCGGGACTACGAGGAAATTTGCAGAAAAGAGGTACGCTCCAGTAATACTATCTTGACCTTGACCACAAAGAGGAGCACACAAAATAAGAAATGTGCGATAATTGAGGCCGCAAACGCTCAAAAAGTGCCATTGTCGACGAGGTAAACAAGCACCAAGTCACGAGCGTTTTCTGCTCTCTTGGAGCGGCGGCTGCGACGTTTTTATCATTGCCGCGGTTTATCGTCGCGACATGTGACCACAGCCGAAGATAACATTCCACATGCGAGATGAACTTTCAACGACCGTGCCGTCCGTCTCCGGCGCTATGTTTGTCAGCCGCCCAACGGTGCGCACAATCGTGACCGACGTGCAGTGCCATGCTATGAAGGCATGTCCTAGGTCACGTACCCCGAGGTCGGTTTCCGGTCGAATCCACCAATTTCGGTGGAGCGAAATCTCGGCGGTCTAGATCGAGAACGTTGGCGCTGTTCCAAACCGACGAGTGAAAGACATTCGTGGTGTATCTAAACGTTTGCGAACGCCCGCTCCAGGAAAGTCGATCCCGGAGCGCGCCAGACGAGTAGCGGAATTCGCCGTTAAACAGAGTACAGGCGCGTGCACGTATAAACGGGACACGATCGCTCTTGATGAAATAAAAAGAAGCAGAGGCTTATCTTGTTATTATTCCAAATTTCTCTCTCGAGTGTCCTTCTCTTCGTTCTAGTTCATATCTATGTTTACCAAGGCTCGTATATCCACGGGCACCGTATTTTATCCTCCGTCTGGCCGCGGGTTGGGTGACCTAAAGCTTTTATCGCCCAGCGAGTAACTTCATCGATTATCGATTCGGCTAACCACTTATGGGCTCACTTGAGCGAGACGAACGTGCCGCGAGTTCGTCTCGCTGGTTCTACCATTAAAAAGGCTCTGGGTCACCTGTTGGGGTTAAAGGGATACTGAATCGAAACTTAAAATATGCTTCTCAAGTTCAGAAATAAGTTAAACGTGACCAACTCAATCTGCTACTGAGAATCGCACTCTTCTATTTTGAACGGATGGCTCTATTTTTCATTCCAAAGGACCGCTTCAAGTGAGCGCTCGAAGATCAGCCATCGAAGAGCGCAGTGCATCACGGGAGCTGGATCAGTTGACGTCACAGAAACAAAGCTGCTTGGGGGCTGGCGTGGTTTCGAGCTCTGCCCCTTGGCGTCGTCAACGCGTTACAACCTGGCCGTTTTTAGTTGCTCATTCCCGCTTTCCGAGGGGAAATTCGGTTCGACAGGGCCAACGCGGGCACGCACTTTGACGCCGTACTTCCGCGGGGCGGCGCTGCTTTTACGTGCATAGTCAAGTAACAACGTTCGGTTTATGCTGTACATTTAAGCACCAAAAAAACAAGGACACATTGAAGCACGAAGGACAAAGTAAAGTGTGCATAAATGTACGCAATGAACCAACTTCGTTCTTCACTCAGTCCTTGTTGAACATAACCATTTTATCCGTTTATCCTTTTTAAATAATGTTTAGGTGTCTTTCGAGCAAAAAATTGGTGTCTCCGTGGTGTGGCCAGAACGTGGTCGGTATTTCGACAATAAACTGTAGGCGCTACAATTTCGTTGCAGTATCACTCTAAAATGATGTGTCAGACAGGGGGATATTGCCATCGTACCACATATACCGTACACTTTCCCCAAAGATGCGGCATCTGTTTTTGCTCGTGTTTTGTTAGCGCGCTATATGTGGCTTGCATTGACGTCACATCACCAGCCATTGCGGTGTCCTTGCTGCTGAGCGCGTACCTTCCGCAGCAAGCATTTCGCATCACCGAATTAATTTGTCTCGCCATTCATCGGGTGACAAGATTATCATCCGCGTTTCTGCACCGTTAGCCTTGAGCCTGTTGAAGCAGTAGCATATCCCTACGCTTCCCGCGTCTTTCCTAAAACTGACCGATTAAGTGGTTTCTCATGATGACGCTTTTTAAGTTTCTAATTGGAATCACAAGTTCATTTTAAGTAATTAAAACAAATCAAGAAATTTTAGTTAGTTATTTGAATTATCGTGACAATTAGCCCACTATATTATGTCCCCTGGCTAACACACCTGCACAAACCGTATTAGTGTACCTTTTAAGGCCTTTTTTTATTGTTTTAATAAATCTGTTTGAATTAATATCATACACTCTGTATAAAGTGACAACTCGTCAGGCCAAGCAGTCGATTTATCCAATCAAATTAATTATTCTGTATATCTGCAAATACTAAACAGCGATCGACCCGCCATCAAATATCGGAACTATAAATATAGTTCTGACGGTCACAACTATACCTAGAAGTAATACACGTGGACCACAAAATAACGATCCCAGATAGAAAACAAGTGAAGGACATAACACAAGCAGTGCGACAGGCGTACCTCGCAGCCCCTTTTAGATGTGAAAACAAAACAACGAAAGCATAACCTCCTTTGGTTTCGCAGACAATAACACAAAACGCATCTAAAGGCGATTGCAAGCAAGGCATCTGGCCGACGCCGTGTCTCTGTGCGGGCATGTGCGTGCAATGACAAGCTTTGCAAAGCTACGCTCACGCGCACGCTGCACGTGCATGCTTGCTCGCATGGGTCACCAGTGAGGCGCCATGCTTCTGGCGGCCGTATCTGCGTGCGCGATCGGGGCCATATCTGTGTGCGCGGTTGACGGCCATATCTGTGTGCGCGATTGGACACTTTAAGCGAAAGCTCGCGTTGCAGAACCCGGGGATCCTGGGTTCAATCCCCACCCCTGCCCGTTTCGATCTGGATGAGCATTGTATCGGAGTGCGGTCGTGTATCACTACTGCGTGGTGCACGCTAAAGACCCCAGGCCAACGGTTGTACCGCACTGCCTACATTGCTCATCTACAGCTGAGACACCAGACGCCCACTGAGGCAGACTAACTTCCGGCTGCATAAACATACACACAACAATTTGCTTTTTGTGCGCGCGGCAGCTGAGCGCGTGCTGACAGCAAGCTTCAGCAGTTCTTTCCCAACGTGCATTCCGCACCATGAAGATTGCGCGGTCTTAGCAGGCTATTGATGTGAGTTCGTTCCTAGCATGCGCCCTAAACATCGCCCTCAATTATGGCGTCCAGTGAGTACCTTCTATACATCTTAATAAGCTCACAATTCTATTTGACCATATCTCTTAAGAAACGAACACTCGCACGTCGTTGAAGTGGCCAGGACACGTGTAACCTTCTGCGCGTGTCTGGAGTTACGAATATCGCCCTCACCGTTTACTTTAGGTTAAACATTCGCTTGAAGTTTGCCCTTCATATAGGTATATCCATCCACGTCTGCGTGGTGAAACCAAATATTTTTTTTTTCCTTTGAGGGGGGGGGGGGTTAAAATTTTTAAGATAACATGATAAACAAAAAGTAATCGCGATTGAAGCATTAATTGGTAGGTAAAGACCCCAGGCCAACGGTTGTACCGCACTGCCTACATTGCTCATCTACAGCTGAGACACCAGACGCCCACTGAGGCAGACTAACTTCCGGCTGCATAAACATACACACAACAATTTGCTTTTTGTGCGCGCGGCAGCTGAGCGCGTGCTGACAGCAAGCTTCAGCAGTTCTTTCCCAACGTGCATTCCGCACCATGAAGATTGCGCGGTCTTAGCAGGCTATTGATGTGAGTTCGTTCCTAGCATGCGCCCTAAACATCGCCCTCAATTATGGCGTCCAGTGAGTACCTTCTATACATCTTAATAAGCTCACAATTCTATTTGACCATATCTCTTAAGAAACGAACACTCGCACGTCGTTGAAGTGGCCAGGACACGTGTAACCTTCTGCGCGTGTCTGGAGTTACGAATATCGCTCTCACCGTTTACTTTAGGTTAAACATTCGCTTGAAGTTTGCCCTTCATATAGGTATATCCATCCACGTCTGCGTGGTGAAACCAAATATTTTTTTTTTTCCTTTGAGGGGGGGGGGGGGGGTTAAAATTTTTAAGATAACATGATAAACAAAAAGTAATCGCGATTGAAGCATTAATTGGTAGGTTAATCGATCAATTGCCCAGCACTAGTTATAAATTATAAGCCATAGGAGAGCAGTTTGGATGCAAGTTCCGATTCGGCTGACAGTAAACGGAACTTTGGCCGGCGTCTCACTGGGTCGAACTAAATCGATTTGTTAAAAGTTATCCGTTCAAATGAAAACATCTCTGATAACTACACTGCATCTGGAAGGACATATACACACAGTCGCAAGTAAAATAAACTTTCGCGTCATCTCATTGTACTTGTTCATGCGGTACAACAACGCCGAGTGTCAGTGGATGGAAATCCAGGATGGAAAACAATCATGATTTGTTTTAATCAAATAAATCTGACTTATATGATTTAAATCAGATTTATATAATTTAAATCAGATTTAATGGATTGAAAAAATATTAATTTGATTTAGATCGCTGTAGCTGTTTTTAATCACCAGACGTTTATTTTTAGTGACAGATTGATTGATTAATTCGTTTTATCACTGAAAGCAATGTGGGTGAAAGAATGGCTGTAAATTTAAAACGCAGCATAAATTAAAACGTTCTATTGGATAAATCCTGCCAAAGTAGAACAAAAACAGCTCTGATTTAAAAAGCGTTACTTGGCTTTTCTTTTTCGCTCTGATTTTCTAAAATAAGACATTACTTTTTAGTTGTTTTTTTCGCGATCTTACTTGTTTGCAGTAGGACGTTACGTAACTGACGAAGTAAGTGGATGGTTGAAAAAAAAAAAAAAAAAAAACTTTACGTTCCGATTTGTTCAATAGACCAATGCTTTTGTGCTCGTGTTCAGTCTGATATAAATCTGCATTGCTTGATGATTCCCTGATTTAAGTACAAAACAAATGCACATAGAAAGCACCAGATGATAGACAAACTGTATAGAAAACTATATTTTTTTTGTAATCACGATTTGAAGTATAATTCAAATCATCCCGAGTTTTATTCTCCACCCGGTGTAATCACTATAATTACTTCGACACTCAAAGCAAAGCAGGAACTGTTTGACCCGGTTCGGGGCAGTACACTTGTGACGAACGTCCGCTTGATAACCAGGTACTTCAGCTCCGTTCAGTACGCTTCCATGCGACTTGCAAGCACGCCAGGGGACGTATGTACAACCGAACTTGTACGGGACACGCAGACTGTGACTCATCTCACGGAATTCTGGCGGCTGCCGAGCAGTGCCCCCTTGACGCAGTGCTCAATGGAAGAACCCGAAGAAACCGCTCGCTCGAGACCGCAGCTGCTGGACCGTGGACAGCCGAGCACAGACGCCCGCTCAAATCATCGGTGATTGGATTGTTCAAGGCATCTCATGCTTCCGCTGAATGAGACATCCACACACTAACGATCTTGGCAGTCACCATCATCGTGCGAAAGGGCGGCAAAAAGTGTATGATCGATCCAAAATGGTGCGTTGGCCTCGTTGGTTCATTTCATTATACACTAAAAGCGCCAAAACACAGGGACAAATTGATGCAGCCGTGATTTCGACCTTGAGCGAGCGGAGCCGTCTTTCGGCGGCCGCCATGAATATACCTCCCGTGAGATCATGAGACAATTCGATTGATCCGCACGTTCAGTGAACGCTGTATATACTTAAATCAACTAGATCGCAACCCCATAACAACTAAAATCGCACGTCGCTCGTTCTGTGTCGCAATACAGATGTGTACGATCTACTGTAAGCAGAAAGTTTAACGAGATTTCGGATTTATTTGACGTTGTCCGAACGTATAGTACGCAAACTGAATAGAACTGATCACTCACCTTTGTGCGGGGCTAAGCGTTCGTTGCGAATGTGGATCGTCCAAGTCCTCGAGCAAGCGTGCACTCCTCTTCGGTTGCCAGGCGACTAGATTAGGTCAAACGGCTGTTTCTCATGCCAGGTGAGAAGGCGTATCGCGCCGGAGTTCATCCGAGCAGGCACGGCGAGGTTTTTCCTCCAGCGAAGGCTACGTCACCGCAGACGACAGGGAGACACAACAGTTTTGCCGAGTTTGTTACGCTCCGCGTCGACGCTGATAGCTAAAGAAGCAAAAACAAATTGGCTGCAGAAACCACTATTGTTGGTTGTCTATGAATTCCGATAGCATTCGTCATGGGACTCACGACGCCGTATTTACACTGTGAATACGACGACGCAAATTTTGAGTAAACACTTCATTTTATGAATGGTTTTGCGACCATGGGCGTACCAACCGGGGGGGCAAGAAGGCCCCCCCCCCCCCCCCAGTTCTCAGAGTGTGTGTGTATGTGTGGGGGGGGGGGGGGGCGAGGCATATGTTTTGCCCCCCGTGAAACAGCCGCCGCTGGGCAGGGCAAACACTGGCCGGCGGCGCCCAAGGGATACCAAGGGCACCGCGCCCCTCGGCCCTTGGGGGGGGGGGGGGGGGAGGAGGGAGGGGGGGGGGAGGGGGAGGGGAGCGGGGTCTGGTTTGCTCCCCCCACTCAAAAACAAGTTGGTACGCCACTGTTTACGACGCAATCATTGACGTCAGCGCGACTGCAGCGTGCCACTTCGAAATTGAATGATGACTTCTCCTGCCTCCGTGTAGTCATTTCAAGCTGTTTCCCCACTATCATTACAGCTTCGTGTGTGTGTCTTGTCCTGTCTCTGTGTAATCGTTTAATGTTAAATCTGTTTCACCGCCATCATTGACCATGCATGTACCAACTAGCTCAACTCAAACCGATAATCGCTGCGTATCTTGGGTGCAAATGTGCATGTGTGCGTACTGCCGCTCCGTGTATGCGCGGCGCGGGTTTACCTGCTTGCTAGGGCGATGTCGAAGACGAAGTCCTAGAGGACGACGTCAAAGACAACGTCTAGAAGGACCTCTAGGACGACCTCAAGGACGACGTCTTAGAGGACGACGTCTAAAAGGACCTCAAAGACGATCTCTAGGGCGATATCAAGGACGACCTCTAGGACGACGTCAAAGACGACGTCTAGTACGTTGTCGAGGACGACCTCAAGGACGACCTCTATGATAACGCTGAGGACGACGTCTGCATACGGGCAGCGCCTCCGCATACGCGCGCCACGAGCATAAGCACGGCGCATTCGAGGCCAGATTCCGTATCGCGAAAACAGGCGAAGTAGCTAAAGAATGCATTAAAAAATTAAGGCTCCAATCCATGCTGTGAAGGTGGTTGGACGGCGAAGCTGTGGTACCACCTGCAACGATTACCCACTGCACTATAGACCCTTTTTTATGGCAAACGCCACCAGGTGGTGCTCCAGTCTTTGACGTGCCAAGGAAGTTCCGGTTTATAAAAAGAATGAACAAAGGCCTCCGATGTGTGAAATGTAGATGAAACGTTTGACCACCAATTCTCCAGGTGAACGCCAAAAGAACGAAGGAGTGCGAGATCTGTTAAAATGTTTCGAGTATTCTTGTAAACCAACTTGCCTCCTCCAAGATGTAATATTGTACAGCCGAAGGCTTTGTTGTCTGGGTAGCAATTCTGCTTTCTAGCATTAGTGACATAAGCAAGCTCAACAGGCCTGCAAAGACGGTGCGACCGTAAGTCGCTTGGGACGCAAACGGCAGTTAATGTTTGTAATTAGCAAAAGGGTCTATACCAAATGGTTGACGAAAGAAAAGTAAATGCACTACCAAAAACGTTTTTTATATATGAAAGACTTCGTAAGCTTCCGTTGCCGCGGCAGCTTATGCAACCGCAATCTTTACCGAGAAAGGCATGCGGGGAGCGCTACGTGCTTATCATCCATGACGTGGTTTTGACACTTGTTTTGCGGTTTTCTTATTGAAACGATTGTCAAAACCACATGAAAAGAGATAAGGCGCGCGCGAACGCGTGGGTTTTCTGTCGACTATTTTATCTTTCAACTACTGTTCTTCCGACGGACACTCAAAAACTCGAACAGCGAGTCATATACAACTTCGCTGTGAAAGTCGGGGCTCCAGTCCACGCTGTGAAGGTGGTTCGCCAGCGAAGCTGTGGTATCACCTGCAACGATTTCCCACTACGCTATACCAAATGACTGACGAAAGAAGAGTAAATGCACTGTACCAAAACTTTGTATATACAGGGTGTTTCACGTTAGAGTAACAAAGATTCCTACAATTAGAGTATCCTAGGTAAAAAAAAAATAATTTTCTCAGGACCGCATTACTCGTGGTGGCGGACGTCGGAAAATTGACGATACGTACTAATTAGCTCGCTAATTAAATAAAATTACTAATTAACGCTTTAATTAGTGAAAATAGACACATGGTTCCAATCAGAAACTTGCTGAGCGTCATCAGAAAAGCCTAAATCGGTCATTTTCCCAAAGACTTTGAGCACATGAGAAGCGTAGTAGTGCAGTAAAGTTACCACTCGTAGAGCAGGTACACGGTTGCGGTTGTTGTATACTGGCAAAGACGGTATGCCAGTAGGTGGCGAGGGCGCGAGCTCGGCGCATACCACGCTGCCAGAGCTCGCGCAGTGCTCGCGATCGGCTCGGACTGATTATTAAAAAAATGGAGCCTTTCATCTGGAACGACCTGGTCTCGGCTCTCTCGTTCGCGATTTAACATTGGCGACGAGGATACTGGTTACCTGTCGTCGGAGGTCATCGGCGTCTCACGAAGGAACGGGGACCTGGATCACGGCTACCATGGTGCTAAGCCAAGAACCCGCAGCGAGCAACGGGAAGAGCCACTGCTGAAAGGACCCCAAGGAAATAGTATGTGCAGCAGTTCTCTCTGCTTGTCAACGTAATGAACGTCGCAGTGCACGAAAATGCCACACCTCGGGAAGGTGCTAGAATTCGACGAGGCCTCTCAGAGTTTCGAGACCTACGTTGAGCGTTTTGAGCTTTTCGTCGCTGCGAACAGCATCAAAGAAGAGAAAAAGGCAGTAACATTCCTAACAGTCATCAGCGATCGAACATACGAAGTCGTCAAAAACCTAGCAGCCCCAGACTTGCCAAGCTTTAAGACGTGCAGCGAGATTAAGACTCTATTAGAGGAGCACTACGGCCCGCAACGGTCTGTAATAGCCGAACGCTGTAAGTTCAACCAACGGAGTCGGCTAGAACATGAATCCGTGGAGGATTTCATTTCGGCTCTCAAAAGTTTGTCTCGATTTTGCAGTTTTGGAACATTTTTGCAGAGTGCTCTCAGGGACAGGCTGGTAGCTGGCCTGAGGGACGAAGAAAGTCAGAAGGAACTGTTTGCGTTTGCTGAAGAAAAGCTAAGTTTCGCAGTCGCTTGCAAGATAGCGCGGGAAAAAGAAGCAGCAGCAAAACAAACGGCGGACATGCACAAAGAATCCAAAGCAGTGAACGCTATTCATAAAAAGGTGTCACCTCCTGAGAACAGAGGTCATGGGAGAAGCACGTCTCATGATCATGGGTCCAGTACTTCGCAAACAAGTTGCTATCGTTGCGGAAATGAGCATGAGCCCCGCGAATGTCGTTTTAAAACGTATCGCTGCAAGATCTGCTACAAGACTGGACATCTTAGGAAGATGTGTTGCAACACGCCTGGAAAGACTCCTGAGCGCCACGTTCAAGTCCTTGAGGATTCCGATGATGAGGATGAAGACCTACTGACCGTGTACACGTGTATGAAATCTTCACCTGGATTTCAAGTTTTCGTAGAGGTGGACAGAGTTCCTCTACTCATGTTGATCGACACGGGAGCGGCGGTCTCTATAATACCAGAAGAAGTTTTCATTAAACACTTTCTTCAGAAAGAGCTCCTGGAAACCAAAGTAGCTCTTCGCACTTACTCCGTTGAGCGGCTGTCGGTAAAAGGGAAGATCTCAGCAAAAGTCCAATATAACGGGCAAGAGGAAACACTCGACTTGTGTGTAGTAGCTAGCGAAGGTCGAAGTCCAACAGTGCTCCTAGGTCGCGACTGGCTCCGGAAGCTGAAGCTGGACTGGACGGCTATCTGCAGCATCACTGTTCAAGACCAAGTGGAACAGTTTCGAAAGAAGTATCCGAACGTCTTCGACAGTTCCCCTGGCATGGTACGCGATTATCAGGCACAGGTTGTCATCAAGGAAAACAGCACTCCAGTCTTTTGCAAGGCACGTCCTGTTCCTCTGCCCCTCAAGGAAGCGGTGACAGCACAACTGCGAAAGTTTGAAAAAGATGGCATATTGCGTCACGTTTCTCAAAGCGACTGGGCCACTCCTTTAGTTGTGGTACCGAAAAACGGAGGAGAAAGCCTTCGGTTGTGCGGTGACTATAAGGTGACCATCAACCCGGTTCTCAATATGGATCACTACCCGTTGCCACATCCAGAGGACATCTTCAGCACGTTGGTCGGGGGGAGAGTGTTCTGCGTTCTCGACCTGTCGTCAGCGTACCAGCAAATCGAGCTAAGCGAGAGGTCGAAACACCTGCTGACCATCAATACACACCTGGGACTGTTTGAATACCAGCGACTTCCCTTTGGAGTAGCAAGTGCACCTGCCATTTTTCAATCGTTGATGAACCGTGTCCTCCAAGCAATTGCACAAACGTGTTGTTACATCGATGACATCATCATCGCTGGCAGAGATATGGCAGAGTGCAGCAAAATCCTGGACTCTGTTCTACAGAGACTGTCCGAGTCTAACTTGACCCTCAGAAAGGAGAATGTGCAAGTTTTTTGCGGTCTCAGTTGTCTATTTGGGACACCAAATTTCCGCACAAGGCATCCAGCCCACACAAAGCAAGGTCAAGGCAATCACAGAAGCGCCAGAACCTACCAACGTGACGGAACTTAAGGCTTATCTCGGAATGCTGACCTTCTAAGGAAAGTTTCTGCGCAATCTAGCTGACACGGCGTCGCCATTGTACGAGCTACTGAAGAAAGGACATCACTGGAAATGAGACAGCAGCTGCAAGAAAGCCTTC